TCTCTCAAAAAAAAATACCCTAAATAAGTTAGGCAGTATAGCAGATCAGACGCTAAAACCAAGCTGGCATTCCTTTATCTTTTCCTTTCTCTTAAAAAAAAAAAATACCCTAAATAAGTTAGGCAGTATAGCAGTTTACACACAGAGGCTTGATTCAACACTTAATTATCTATATCATTTTGCCTCTCTTTCCTTCTCAGTAATGCTGAAAATTTTAGGACTCCAGAGTCACACTCATAAATACATTTATAAACATTACTGACACCCCCCCTAAAAAAACACACCTGGCTACTGCATGCCCCAATGGAGATCAGGATAAAATACCCTAATTCGGAAATGAGAAGGTTTGAAATAATACAGCTGGCATGAGAGAGCCACATCTGACTTAACCTTAGTGAGGAAGAAGTCAAAGATGAAAGGGGATTCTCTCTTTTTAGATCTCCTATTAACCATGACTGAGGCACTTGGAATTGCAAAGGCAACACGTAGCTTTCAGAAGCATGTTTCTTCCGGAAGTAAAAAGAATCTTACACCTTTTCTTTCCTAGTTTTAAAGTGGTGGGCAAATGTCATTCGTCTTAGGTAGTCTAACCATTGCCCAAGAATGATCAAAGGAAATTGTATGCATATGCTGTCCTCTTAAAATGCCAGCTCCTTCGTGAAGCTGTCCTGATTCCCTAATCAGAATGCATAGCTTCCTCTCTCCACTCTATCATACAATTTATATCTCCATTAATATTTGCAAACTACTTTCTATGTGAGTAATGTGTTTACAATGTTTCCCTCTCTTATTAAACTGTGAACTTCCACAGCTCGGGGACCGATCATTATCTCTCTGGTCCTCACCGTGCCAAGCAGAATAAATGCTCGATGAATGAATAAATATGGTGGTGTCAGCTTTATGATGATTGGAAGTGACGATGATTTTAAGAGTTCTAATAAAAGTTGAATGCAAACAGGATAAAGCAACCACACTTTCTACTTAGCTGCTCTCTCCACCCTAATCTCCTTTCTCTGTATTTGGTATCACTGCATACATTGGAGAGAGAGATGCATCTAGACATGTCCTCCTGGGAATACATTTTATCTTCAATATGTCTATTTTGATAACCCTCAAGTAAACCATCTTTTGGAGAAGATTTCCAAGGTTACAGTGCAGCTGATGGGGAGAGTTTCAATCAGTCAGACAAATGGCATCTCTAATTCCCATGACAAACACAGTGTGCTATCAGATGCCCCAGAGAAACCCCAAGATTCTGCAAGCGGACAGCATTTCTCCACGAGACTCTACTGACAATGTGCTGCCTATTTAAAATGATTAAGAGGAGGAAAGAAGGAACCTGAATTTCTTTAACTGGAAGGAAAAACGTCTTTAATTCTCAAAACAAAGGTCTAACCAGAGACGGATTAATGAGGAGCGACAACTGTTTCAGGTACAGAGTAGAATGAAACCTGTCTAAAGAGAGAAAGGTTCACTTTAGGCAATGGAAGTCATCTCAAAAAGGTATCTTCCCCCTGTTTTCATCTGTTTCACATTGTAGAGTTTGGCAAAACTTTTAACAACTGGTTATTTGGAAATTTCTAAACAATGATCAGTTTCTACCACAATGTACATTTTTTCTTTCCAAAACAAATAAGAAACTTTGCTCTGACAGGGAAAATTCCCAATCTCTTATCATTGAAAGGTACCAAAGAAGCTGGGAAATTGTCTGAATTTCATATAGCACTTTTGAGTTCATTAGCCATTATCCCTAGGTCTGTATTTAATCAAAGATGAAAGTACAGCCCTGGCCGGTGTGGCTCGGTTGGTTGGAGCGTTGTCTGTACACAGAAAGGTCGAGAGTTCCATTCCCAGTGAGGGAACGTAACTGGGTTGCGGGTTCGATCCCTGGCCCAGGTCATGCAGGAGGCAACCAATCGATGTTTCTGTCTCACATTGATGTTTCTCTCTAAAAATCAATGAACAGGATTAAAAAAAAAAGGGGGGGGGAGGAAGAATAAGAGCTCAAAAGCTTTTAGGAGACAGGAAGCAAGCCTTTGGCTCGGGATTTTTGTGTTTGAGTGAGTGATAAATCAGGTTCGCAGAGAAGTAATCAGAAATGAGACTGGCTGGAGATAAGAAAGAGCCTTGAAAGGAGAGGTGTGAGACCATGGGTTGTACTTGTGACTTGGTGCCTCTTAACCAGCTTAGGGACCTTGAGCAAATTACTTACACTCTCACCTGTAAAGTAAGAGACTAGACTCTGATGATTTCTAAAGCCCCCTGTAGCACTGTCCATTTTTAATGGCCTAATATTTATTCCTTAAGTCATGGGTTAGGCGAGTTCATTCACCTCTCTATTTGAATACCTTCAATGAACATAACAGAGGGCAGCCTCCTCAAGGAGTTCCTAAATCAGCGGGGAAAGTGAAGGCGCTCCCCACAGCTCCTAACACAGGTGCTCATCCGTCCAAGGAAACCAGCAGGCACTGAGGACAGAAAGGAGTAGGACAGTGGTTCTCAACCTTGGCTGCACATTAGAATCACCTGGGAGTCTTTATAAAATCCTGATTTCTGGGCCTCATCCTCCGGAAATTCTGTTTCTTTGTTACTAATGTTGTGGCCTCAGCCCATAACAAAGATTCCCAGGTGATTCTAATGTGCAGCCAAGGTTGAGAACCACTGGAGTAGGAGAAACTCCATCGCTCTCAGGAGGAAGAGAAGGTAATTTATTGTTTCAGTCCAGCCATGCTCATTGAGTGTGCCAGGCACTGGGGATCCCGGGTGACCCTGACCAACCAGGCCTCTAAATGAAGCCTGCTTATATATATAACTAGGAGGTGGAGGAGAAAAAAAACACACACAAGAAAACAAACAAAAAAACCCAACAACACAGGCTAACAAATACGTAAATAAAAAATAAAACCCAGGTTGTGTGATAAGTCCTATGAAGGAAATAATGGGAGGGAATAACTGTATTTAGGGGTTAGCATAGGCCAGAGGGGGAAGGCTCTTTGGAGACTCTGGTAGTCAACTGAGCTGAGACCTACAGGCAGATGAGAAGCAAGCAGCCAGCATGGAGGGCTAGCGATTTAGCCAGAGGAAGCCGGTAAAAGCGGAGGTTGGAAAGGGCTGGAGCAGAGAGAGAGAGACTATCTGTGTGGCTGGAGCTTGGAGAGCAGTTCATTCTGGAAAGTACAGGTTTATAGCAGCAGTTCTTACCAAGGGCGATCCTCCCCCCCCCCCCCCCCCCCCC